GAAGCAGTAGACTTTGGAAATATTAACATTTGGATCATTCCTTAAACTTTTGGCAGTGACTGTAGATGAGCTGCAGCAGGGATGGTCAGAGCGGCTCCAGCCTGTGAAGGTAGACATCAGGGAGTAAAGCTGAGGAGCAGCAGGAGAAGCAGCAGGAGAAGAACCTCCCAGGCAGCAATCAGCTCCACCCGGCCGGGATGCCCTCATCAGGAAAACAGCCTCACCTCGTTAAACTGAGTTGGTTTTTTTCTGCTCGCTTGGCTGCGGTTGCCGTCGGTAACCATTAATGATGAGCTGGCTCATTGAAATAGGCGCTGACATTCAGGCGGTGTGGGGGTGGGGGGGGCAGAGCATGAGGAGCAGCCCAGGAACCAACTGGAAGGATCAGCTGGGATCTTCCAGCCAAACCTTCCTTTCATTCACCTCTTAGATTTGGCCTTCTGAACACGTTTAGCATGGATCCCATAAAACGAGGTGATTAGTCTGAACTCTGGTTCTCTGGTTCTCGTCTGGAACCAGAATAATCTGGATCGGTCGGATCTTACCGGAGGATTTCCTCAGTAGATCCTCCTCCTTCCTCAGCCAGGCTGCTGCGGCTCTAAATCCAAGCTCTGCTGTGTCCAACAGGCGCTGCTGCAGGCCCATGATGTGGTCGCCCATGAGGTCTACGGTGACGAGGCTCTGCGCGTCACCCCCCCTCCCACCTCGCCCTACTTGAACGGAGACTCCCCGGAGAGCGCCAATGGCGACATGGACCTGGAGAACGTCACCAGGGTCCGTCTGGTCCAGTTCCAGAAGAACACAGACCAACCAATGGTACGTCCGTCTGACCGTACGGCGCCGTGGCTCTGGGAGGGGACCCAACACGTGTCTGCGTTCAATCTCACAGGGTATCACGCTGAAGATGAACGACTCCAACCGCTGCATCGTGGCGAGGATAATGCACGGAGGAATGATCCACAGACAAGGTAGGCGTGGCTCCAGCTGCTGGACCACAGCTGGCTGAGGACAGGAAGCATGGCTGCCATGGGTCTCCTGAACTCGTCTCCTGAACTCGTCTCCTGAACTTTTGTCTCCTGAACTCGTCTCCTGAACTCGTCTCCTGAACTCGTCTCCTGAACTCGTCTCCTGAACTCGTCTCCTTGCAGGAACGTTGCACGTTGGAGATGAGATCAGGGAAATCAACGGCATCGGTTTGGCCAATCAGACGGTGGAGCAGCTGCAGCAGATGCTGGTCGGTTCCTCTGCATTTCTCATTTCTGTAGATGGAACATCTTCAGGCTCAGAGCTTTTAGAGAATCATGACCTACAGGAAACCTTAAAGGTTTAAGAGAAAAGATGATTAAAAATAGAATGTTCATAAAGGAGGGGGGGAACCCCAGGCTGTAAACTTCTAACCAATGAGGGCGTCGCTGCTCCTCATGTCCCGTCCAGTTTCCCTCTGATGCTTCATGATGAATCAACACGAAGTACATCACCGTCCTACAGACCTTCCACAGGTTGCAGTTAACGTTGCTGGATGAACATTAGTTCCTCATAAACCAGGAGAACCAGGAGGCCCAGAAGCTTCTGACCAGGAAACCAGCTGTGGAGGATCTGCAGGAACCGGTTCCTTCTAGAAACATCAGGACTCCAGGAGATCCTCAGCCAGAAGACCTCATGGGACTGAAGGAAGATCAATGGGGAGATGAACTGGGAAGGAAAGATGGAGAAAAGCTGAAGATCAGAGGAGATGAAGCACAGAACATTGCAAACTGCAACTACATTAAGAAAAACACAACTACATTAACCTAGCGGAAAAGGTAGGTACCAGT